GGATTAAGCTTTGGAACATTTTGTCAGAGTGAACTGCAAACGCCAAAAGTCTGCAGGGGCTCAACCGAGCAGTAAGACAAATGCACAGGAAAAAAAATCCATTAAGGAATATTCAAGACAAAACACTGCTCTTGGTTCAGGAAGCTCCGGAGCCTCAGATCAATAGAAGTTAGCAGAGAAATGACCCCCCTGTGCTTGCTATGCACTTATTCCCTTCCTGAACGCTGCCCAGGTCACAGCATCGCACGGCCGGACCTACAAGCTCTCCCCAGAAGCACAGAGCTTCCTCAGGGGCTGTTCACCTGCCCAAGGAGCAGCAGACCGCTCTGCAACCACACCACCTCCCATCCCAAACCGAGGACAGTGAGAAAGAAACTGTCTGGAGCCTGGAGGCCTGTCCAGCCCCATGGAGCATGTCTGAGAGTGTGGCAAGGAGACAGGACATCGGGCTAGGAGAGGCCATGGGGTTTGGAAGGTGGGAGTCCTTCACTGTCATCTCGCCCTGGACAACCATGGTGAAACAGCCTCCTTGCCGCTGCATCCTCTCACCTTGCAGAGGAGTTTTGCACCAGGAGCGGCTCATCTGTGGTGATCCCAGTGCCAGCAAGGCAGTCAGACTCTGTAAAGCATCATTTAAAATGTTATTTATTAGAGCTAACACTATAAAGAAAAAGAGGACAGCATAGATAATCTTACATCCTTTCAGATGCTGGGAACCCCAAGTTGTGCAGGGTGGAAGGGGTCTCTGGTCAGCATGCAGCATGCCGTGCAAACCTCATCCGAGAAAGGGTTACCCCATTTTGGTCATTCAAGCTATTATAAGAAAATCTGTCCCCATAACCAGGGCTTCAGCAAAGAGACCTTGATGCAGGACGAAGAAAGGGCAAGGAAGGTGGTGGTGACTGTGGGGCCACAGAAGACAACGTTGCATTTGCTATCCATCCCATTACAAATCTGACACTTTCTCCCCTTGTGAACGCATTAGAGGAAGAACCTTTGTAATAAGAACCAAAAAAAGCAGGATACATGTGCAAGCTTCTGACAGCCTGTGAGAGGACTAGCCAGGATATGGATGACATTTCAGAGTGCATTTTGCAGACACTCCACCCAGAATATCTCCTCCAGCAGAGCTGGGACCAAGCGCTGGGTCACTGCACATACACAAATGGGGTGACTGCTGTCCTTGGAGGGTCCGACTACCACCATGTAAAACCAGTGTGGGCATGGGCTTCTTTCAAATGAGCAACGGAGAGATGCTGCAGCGTGGGTAAGACACAGAATGGGGGAAACGGATGAAGGGTGCCTGCATTACCGCTACGCACACCCCAGCACATCTCTGCTTGGCAGCAAAGAGGAGACGTAACACATTTGTGTGCAACAACACCACACGGGCAGCTGGCAGGCAGCTGACCTGCAGGTGATCAGAGCAGATAAATACAGCAGTTTCATCTGGCCACAACACATGAATGGACCTGAAATGCCATGCAAATCCAAGAGCAGGTGGAACTAGCTCTGCCCACCCCAGGCTTCAGCTCCCAACCCCCAGCAGGCTGTGAGCCTGCTGCTTGGCATCACCCAGCAGACTGCAGCAATTCTTCCATGCATGCAGAGGCAAAGCCAGGGCTCAAGAGACTTATTTCTTATTTAGACCCAACGCTACCTTGTGTTTCATGAGTGCAAGGCAGAGAAGGAGGTTTCTCTAGCGCCTGTATGTACAGCTCCTTGCACGGGGGACTTGATCCCCAATGCCTGTCAGCTGAAAGCAGATTTGACTCTGACTCCCTATTGGTTGCCTGTTCCCCCAAATTCCTTTATTCACTCTCCGTGGTGGGTTTCAGAGACCTCATAAGTGGCTGTTTGTGGACTCAGTAAGTTTGGCTTGGGTTTTCTCCCCACAGTCAAAACTGAGCCTCAGCTGCAGCAGAATTTGGGAGGTTTCCAAAGTGCAAAGGGCAGGAACGTTGCCATGAGGTTTCATACCTCAGATGGCACTTGCAGAGCCTGATCTTGACGCTTAGAGGTTTCGTTACATGGTACCCAAGGGCAAAGTAAGGAAATACTGTTTAATCCTTTCTCTCTGTTCTAATTAATATGTTAACTCGTGGGGTTTTTTTCCTAGTTACGGGAGAGTTAGAAAATATTAGATCTAGAAAGGATCACTGTGATGGTTTCTTCTGACGTCCTGCATCACACTTCCAGAAGAATTTCATAACCAATTTACTCATCAAAACCATCGTATGGACTTCAGGCAAAGCACACATCTCAGAAGAATTTCTGTTCTTAGATTTACGGTTCCAAAAGATGAAGAATTTGTCATCTGTCCTTTTTTATTTTCAGATTTGCAAAGTAGCAGTGTCTCATTTCATCCAATTTCTGTGTATCTTCAGTTTCCAGTTACTGGGTCATGTTGTGCTTGTGGGTTATACTGAAGAGTCATCACTGTCAACCACGCACCGACTGGTGGACAATTTTTAGATCAATTCAGCTTTTCTTTTGCCAATCACGTAGTCTAAACTAAATAAGTAAGAGACTTCTTTCCCCAGAGAATAAGAAAAAACTCTCTCCTTTGAAATGGACTAGATGATGGTTGTAGGTCCCTTCCATCTGACTAGTCTATTCTATTCTGTATAACTCTGCAAGGTTTGATCTTATATAATGGTCATCAGCAGCACTCTTCCTGAAGTTTCTGGACCTCCATTTCCCTGGAAAGATCTCTCCTTTGTAGCAGTGAGTGTTGTCATGCAAGGATTCAAGGGTTTCCACTCGGGAGAGATGAACCAGCAGGCACTGTGTCCCTGGTTCCCTGTCCCACACACCAGCACCGGCTGCCTCGTCCAGGCTATTCCTCGTGTCGTACATGGGGCACTCTGCATTGCCACAAGATTTATTCCTGCAGCTCTCTTTTTCTGAAAGATCTTTCTCTCTGCTGATACCTCAGGTGAAATTTGCATTAAATTTCAATTTTTTTCAAGACATTATTCAACTCTTATCTATTGGATGAACAATTGCAGGTGTTATTGGATAACAAGTTATATTTACCATGAATAAATTAAAACATCCTCAGTACTGTAATCCACCTTCCCAAGACAAAATCTGGATTACGGGGGGTGCAAAAGTCTAACTCACTGCTGGATGGACATGTGTGATCTAATCATGATTTATGGCTTTAAACCAGTAGTATTTAAAAAAAAAAAAAAATTGCTTTTGGGAACTTTCCCAAATTTGGGGTACTGTAATCCACCTTCCCAAGACAAAATCTGGATTACGGGGGGTGCAAAAGTCTAACTCACTGCTGGATGGACATGTGTGATCTAAACATGATTTTTTGGCTTTAAACCAGTAGTATTTAAAAAAAAAAAAACATTGCTATTGGGAACTTCTCACATATTGAGGTAGCTGATAAATTTCAAAACTCCTTGATACTTTTGTCTAAATGTTTCTCTCATCGTGAATATTTTATCCTGTAGTCATCAATGAAAAGGGAAAAATAATCAGCAGCACATTCATTACCCACTGCTATGAGCTTGGGTAATTTATGAAATTGTATCATCTGCATATATAAGTATGCGTAAGTCTGTTTTCCGGTCTGTGGGCAGTACACTTATTTTTTGAGGTTTTTTTATTTCAGTGTAGATGCTCCCTGGTCCATCATGTGGTTGTCAACAGCTCCAGCTTCTCCTGTTACGCGTTCATCCTGGCAGGCATCCCGGGGCCGGAGGTTTCCCACATTTGGCTCTCCATCCCTTTCACTTGCATTTACATTGCGTCCCTCACAGGGAACTGCACAGTCCTCTTTCTCATCAGGACCGACCCAAGCCTCCAGGAGCCCATGTACCAATTCCTATCCATGCTGGCCACCACCAGTTTGGCTTTGTCTCTGTCTACAATGCCAACTGTGATGAGTGTTTTCTGGGTCAGCTACACGGAAATCAGGTTTGATGCCTGTTTTGCTCAGCTTTATTTTGTTCATTCCTTCTCCTTCATGGAGTCCTTGGTACTTCTGGCCATGGCCTCTGATCGCTATGTGGCCATCTGCTACCCGCTGAGATACTCCTCCATCCTCACCAGTGCCAGGATAGGCAGGATCGGGCTGGCTGCCCTTTCCAGATACCTCTTAGGAGGGCTGCCATCACTCTTCTTGCGGAGAAGGTTGCCCTTCTGCCAGTCCCATGTGCTCTCCCACACCTACTGCCTGCATCAGGACCTGATCAAGCCGGTGTGTGCGGACATCACATTCAATAGCTCTGGTCATCCTCATAGTGGTACCAGACCCATTGCTCATTGTTTTGTCATGTATTATGATTTGTAAGACAATTGCCAGCATCGCATCCCAAAGGGAGCATCTCAAGGCTTTGAAAACTGCCTGTCCCATATCCTGGCAGTCCTGATCCTGTACATCTCCATGGTTGGCTTGTCCATGGTTCACCATTTCAGCAAGCATGCTTCCCCTCTCGTTCATGTCCTCCTGGCCAGCGTCTACCTTCTGTTTTCCTCCATGCTGAACCCCATCATCTACAGCATAAAAATAAGGGGCATCCTCAAGGTCCTTATGCCAAGGAAGAGCTTCTGCCTTGCACCACAGCACATGAAGTACTTCTGCTAACTGCTCACCAGAAACTAGTGGGATGAACTCATTATGCCGTGTACACCATTGTTACTAATTGAATGTATACTTCTGGGTGAAGATAGAAGCAATTAATATTCAAATTAATTTAAGTCATTGTCCATGCTCCTTTATTCTGTGATTTATCACAGAATTTTCTCTACTCTGTGAGGTGTGTTGTATTACCACTGCCCACTGAAGGAATTCATGCTCCAGAAAAACTTAAATATGCAAGATTTTTTTCCTCATGGCCTCTGAGGTTGTAACATACCTTGCTCAAGTATTTCTAATGAGTACTGCAACGAAGAATTAAACTGCAGTCTAGAAAATAATTGAACATGTGATTAAATCTATATGATTAGTCACATTGTTTGCATTCACCCAGTAAGAAGTCATTCAGTCACCAGTTATGAAGCCATCAGGAACCAAATAAAGCACAAGTCTTAAACTCCTTCGTATCCTACCTAAACGTGGGTGATTGCAATGGTGGATGAATGGATGGGTGACTGGATGAATATTTGCCCACTTGTTTTTCATGGATGCTACCTTAGGGAGTATAGTCTTACCAGGCAAGCAGTACCTGGGTAACCTCATCAGTAATACCACGTAAGGTCAGGATGACTTAGGTAATGTTATCAGAAATATGAAATTTGGACAGTGATGTAGCTGAACTGCGGCCAATGGAGAAAAAAGCAATGAGAGGCAACTTGTTTACCTGGGAGAAGACTGGAGTGGAGAAAGGAAAAGTCAAAGGCAGTGAAAAGGAGGGTCAAAAAATGGTAAAAGAGATAATAAGGCATGCAAGTGATGTGTTTGAGGCTGTCCAAGGTAACAGCTGGGCCACCCTGCACTTGACCTCTATATCTGGAGCAGAATCAAAACCCAAAAACCATGCCACAAGAGTCAAAGCTGTTCCTGTGCTCAGGAGGCCTGGGGGAGGCGGTCTGCTTTCCCTGGCTGACGGAGGATACCTGGGCGAATGGACCAGTAACCTGGTATCACCTTGTCAGCACCTGCCCAACAATTTGGAACGGAGTGGTTGCTAAATGGCTTGCTTTACTGGTACACCATAAATACTCTCAAATCATGAAGCTATGATGGCCATGTTATAAACCCATGCAGATGTGCACTCACTCTCCCTATGTAAAGAGCACACCATCCATCGCTCCTGCCTCCATGTGTCTGATACGCACTTTAGCAGGAAGAAATATTGTGCAGCAGACTTTGGGTGGCTGAGTCTCCAAAGAATGCCCTATCTAGTAAAATCTATAAGGCACACGTGTTCCTGCTTTTAAGTTATTGTTATGACATATCTAATACCTTTGTATACTTTAAGCAAGAAAATCAGTCACTTGAGGGATTGAGTGCCTCTGAGAGCTCCCAGCAGCGGCAGATATATGAGAAAGATTGTACTGAAGCAGTTACCAATCTTGATTGAAAAGGATAGAAAGTTAAAATGGGAAACAAGTTTTTATAGTTGAAACCTATAACGTCCTTAAGGGCAAACATGCTTCCAGTCTGAAGAACGAGTGCTGGGTGCACCTAGCATCCTGTACCTGAGTATGTAACGGCACAAATTTATCTTAGACTTGTAACCTAATAAAAGAGTTTCTTTTGGAAAGCTGTGCATACTCATTAATACAGCTGGGAATTGGGATGGCGTTACCATCGGTCTGCTGAAGCAGACTCCCTGATGTCTGTGGCATTATGTGGGGGCACATCTGTGAGGGTCTGGATGAGGGGTTCACTCCATACACGTTTTGTTGGAGAACTGTCTGTCTTTATTTTTCTCCCCCAGTAGGTTAAATGTGCCAGCACAAAATGAATTTATACAGTTCAGTTAACTGGCTCAGAGCCTTAATGTCTACTTAGATCAGGTTTCTCTGGCCCTTGTCCCATGGAGTTTTTAAAATTTCCAAGGACTGAGGTCCCACCCACATGAGGAAGAATTTTTCCTTTACTGTCCAACCGAATTTTCCCGTACTGCAACTTTTGTACCCATCCTCTTGTCTTTTCATCTCTGATGAGTCTGACTCCATTTTATCTGTAATCTCTTTCAGGTAGCGGAAGACTTTAATTAGAAACCTCTTTTGCCTTCTTTTCTTCTGGTTAAAAAAACCCAGTTTCTTCAGCCTCTCCTGGTATGTTGTGAGCTCCAGCCACCTGACCATCTTAGCGGTCTCACCTGGACTTGCTCCAGTATATCATTACTTTTGCTTGTATGGAAGGATCCACAACTGGACAAAGTACTCCAGATGCAGTCACACACTTGCTGATTAAAGGGAAAAAAAAAATCTCTTCCCTTGACCTGGTGGTTGCACTCTCACAAAGGCAGTCCGGTCTGCAGTTGGTCTTCATTGCTGCAAGGGCACACCAAGGACTCATGTCCAACCTGCTGTCTACCAGGCCCTTTCTGAAGAGCTGCTCTCCAGCCAGGCAGTCTCAGTGGGTACCACTGCGGGGGCTGTTCTGTCCCAGGTGCAGGAATTTGCATTTTTTTATGAACCTCATGGGACGCAGTTGAGAATTTGCAGGTGCAATTTCTCACTGGTTAGACAGGGCTCAGCCCTGCGAAGCACCGGGTGTCCAGACCTGACTCAGTGGTTCATAAATGCCCCACCAGAGATAGGTGAGTCCCTAAGCACTTTAAGCAACCCACCTCCCAAGTCCACATCTCTTTCCGCACTTCACATGTCCAGGTAATGAAGTCACTCTGAACTGAAGCAACATAAAATCCTGTGAGTCTTTGTGTGCCCCAGCAGCTCCTCTGTAAGGAGCACATTATTTCAGGCGTCTCTTAGGCACACAGACATGCATATATGCCTTAGTCACGATGACTCACACTTCATCCAGAATCAAAAATGAGCAAATTTTAATTCTGGAAGAAATGATTCATTAGCATAAGACCGTTATTTATTTCTGTCATGATGTTGCCTAAAAGGAATGCAACAGGCTCTATTTCAATGTGTATTTGCTCTCTACTTGCACCTGGACTGGGGAGGTTTAATAAGGTCTATTGCCTAGCAGCCAGTGGAATGAAAGGCTTGGCACCTAAAGTCCATTAAACACCTTTGAAAATCTCTGTCTAAAATGTGAAAGCCACAACACTGCTTATTGGTAAGCTTCATGCACAAAGGGGAAGCCTCTCAAAGAATACTGCAAGCCGTTCTCTAGTTCTTGCATCCATTTCAACTAAGCTGACGTTGAAATTAATAGAAGACATCTGCCTGCTTCCCTTCTACAGGCAAAGCGCAGTCCTCTTTGAGTGGTCATGATTTAAGCTTTCTCAGTTAGACTAAGACATCCTGGAGCTGAAGGTGGTAGCTCAAACCTCCAGAAAAAAAAAAAAAAAAAAAAAGCACCATACTTAAAGGTTTGTGAGCTGCACCCCCCTACCCATCTGTTTGCTGGGGATCTCCTTTGGGAACAAGCCCAGAGACCTGAACTCACAGCCCGAAGAAGTGGCTGGAGACTGATCCATCCCATTTGAATCCACTCCCCAGGAGAACTTGCCTTTCTTGCTCTGTGCTTTTCTGTCTGTGATTCTGTGATTTTACACATCTTCCCCCTTTTCTAATGACAGGTTGGCCTGTGTATGTGTTTTGTTTTCGCAGAGCAGCTTATGCAACCACTGCTTACGGTGACAGCCCTTAGCAGCACCATCTTCCAGCCTGCCAGGTTGCACCTCCGAGGGATGGAGCAGCGTGTGAGAATGACAGCAGAGACCTGCCTCAATTCGAATAGCATCTTCTTTTATAAGTACCTAGGCTGAAGAACAAATGAGCTGTATCTTCAAAGTGCAGAAGTTCCTGGTGATTTAGGGTGGATTAATGTCATGGTACTCAAACTGAAACACTGCTCTGTGATCCAATGCTGAAGACAGATCCGAGTGCTTTTTTGAAAACAAGCATATATGAAGAATTTTCAAGCTGAGTACCGAAACAATGAGATAGCAAATATTTCTAGTCACTTTTGAACATTTAGGCCATTATATGACCACAAAGAACATTAAAACCCAGCAACAATAACAAAATCTGGGGCTTCAAGAGATTAATTCTGTACCTTCTGTGCTTTGCCTGACGCAGGGGCTGCTAAGTTCAAACATATAACTGCTGTGTGCTCACGTATCTTCAGTTTCCCTGCACATAGTATCACTGGAAATAAAGTCAGAATACACCAGGATAACAGATACAGACAACCTCCAGTTACTGCAGTGCCTGGACACTGCCATGTCTATAGGGTAAGCCTAGAGTCCAGGCTTACGAATGACAGGTACCCAAGGGAAAGGACCCAGAAAGGGTTAACACTTGCTGTAGGACTAGATCCACGGTGGGGATTTTACACATGGAAACACCAGGCTCTCCTGAAGTTCCCATTAGACTCCAGTCCCCAAGGTGCTGTTTCAAGGATGTTACGAGCGTGGGAGGCACCAGCCTGAGAGATGGTGTCTGAGGGGCCAGGGCAGCTCTTTACGCAGGTTTATTTCTTGCATAATGACTGCAACAGCCAAATCACCCTTGGTCGGTGAGACGAGGAGCTTGAGTTATTGGCACTTCTAATTCTGGCTTTCAACAGGAGTAAGGAGCACTTCAGCTGTGAGATGGTTTTGCTTTCTTTTTAAAGCTTATAATCAGGACACAAAAAAAGGGTTCACCTTTCATCAGGAAACGTTTTCCCAGGTCAGACTGCAGGTGGGTGCCTTGCCTTCACTTCTCTGGGAGGGTCAGTTTAAGTCTACCTGTCCTCACCTCTTCTCAGCTTTTTAATGTCTGCCAGAAGAACCATCCTGGGAAAACGCAGTGCAGCCTTGCAAAGCCAGCAAACCTCTCTAGTCCTTTTAGCCTGAAAAACCAGAAGTCAGCTTGTAGACAAGGCATGGTCTGCCCAGTACAACGTCTCCTCATCCCAGGCATTAGAAGTCAGGTTATGCTCCAGTGTCTTTCCCCTCCCTGCTCTTGAGACCTACACTGCTGGGCTGTTTTCATGGTCACCAGACTCTTCCAGGATGAGGAAGGTCCAAGACAGCTCATTATCTTTCTTGTATTTTTCTTTCAAGCTAACCAGAGGAAGGTGAGCGATGGGTGGTAGGCGGATCCTTCCTACACGATGGTAGTATGCCTGGTGGGAGATGGATCTGCTGGTGCTGCAGCCATTAACGGTACCCGAGCAAGCTAATTCAGGTACCACCATGGCAGGGAGTACATCTCAGCTGGCATTCACAGTGTGCGCACACACACGCACACATGCACATGATGTCCTCACCACCCCTTGCTGCATGCTGGAAAACTTGGGGGGCACTCTGCCCGCAAGGACATGCAGCTGTACCCTCGCAGGTCCGAAGGATGGACACACCGTGTTCCTTGGTCATCCTGGCTCTCAGCCTGCATGTCTCTGAGAGCAGAGGCATTTTCCTTCATTTCTGTGTAAAACTAGAGCACACACTGGCTCCGAGAGAAAGCAAGCTCATGTTAATGACTGCTGTGTTTCTTTACCAGCGTTTCAGGAGACAAACACTGTATGTGACAGAGATCTCAGAGACAGCTTAAACGTTGGCACTGGTTTGGCTCAGCAAATCCCAACACCTCCGATGCGCTCATATTCCCTGGGACGGGTCTGCTGTAAACGCAGAGGTACCAGATGATTGTAAAAGTTGTGTGCAGTGAAAGGGCTGGAAGACACTTCATCTGTCACCCAGCCCCGCAAAGGTCTCGGGACCGGAGAAGATCTCCCTGGAAACATATCCCTCATGCTGCAGGGACACCCTCTGACTGCAGGTCTTTAGCTCATGATGCCTTTCCTTTTAACCCCATCACACCAGAACTCACATCCGTAACTTCTTGTTGTGGGGAGATCCAGTGCAAGCAGCTCAGCCAATACTTGTGATGACAGCCCTCATCATCACCATCATCCAGCCCGCTGCCTTCCTCAGTCACCCCTGGCCTGGAGGTTGTCCACATCTGGCTTGGCTTCCTCATCTGCACCCTCTACACCATCTCCGTTGTGAGGAACTACACCATTCTCTGCATCACACAAGACGACTGACATCTCCATCATCTCATCATGCATCCTTTGCATGTTGTCCCTCCACAACCCCAGGATCTCATTCCCTACCCTGCCCACAGTGCTCAGCACCTTCTGCTTTGACCAAAGAAGTCGGCTTCAGAGCCTGTTTGACCCAAATACTTTTCATGCACTCCATCTCCTTAGGGCTGCTGGTGGCCATGTCCTTCCATTGCTTCATTGCCATCTGTAACCCACTGCACTGCATGTCCGCCCTCACTGGCACCAGGATCCTGGGCACAGGGCTGGCTGCCACAGTGAGAGGCTTTGGTGTGCTATCGCCCTTGGCTTTTCTTCTTAGGCGCCTGCCTTTGCTGTGCCAAAGCCCTCTCTCATCCCTACTGTCTGCACCCAGACATAATGAAGCTGGCATGTGCAGACATTTCTCTCCATATTTGGTAGGGTCTGTGTGCTGTTATCCTAGTCTTTGGAATGGATTCACCGCTCATTGTCATCTCCTACGTTATGATTTGGACAACCATCATCAGTGACACATCTCAAGGGCAGTATCTCAAAGCCCTGCGGACCTGTGTCTTCCGTGTCTCTGCTGTCTCCACCATACACTGGCTTGGGGAGGACCTTCGTCTTCTTCTGATGTCCAGTACTTACCTCTCTCTGTCTCCTGTTCTCAACTGTCTCATTTACAGTGTGAACAACAAAGATATTTGAAAGGGCATCCTCAGGATGACCTCCAGGCAGCAGACCTAAACTGCCTGTGATTTAGGAGTGCAAGTTTGGAGGGATTCAGGTAATTCAGCCCAGACTCTTTCTGTCACAGAGAACCACAGAGCACAGTCCTTCTTATAACGAAATTGAATTCCACCTCGAACAATTGAGATTTCTGTCCCTACTACTCTCCTGGGAAGCTGTCTCTAACCAGCAGAGGAGAGAGAGTTTGTAGTTCTCATTCATAAGTCTGTTCAGTCAGTAGTTTTGTACTGCTCGTCTCTGGGTGGGTAAGTGGTGAGCAGATAAGGTCAACGCATCTCTGTGCAGAGTTAATCTTACAAAGAAATAAAACCCATCGTGCTGTCCTGAACTCAGCTGGCCAGCCACGGAAGGGGCAGGAGGCGCGTGGCCCAGCAGTGCAGGTCATCAGCCACAGACCGGTGTAAATCCGGCTCAGGAGCAGCCGCCCAACTCATTGCGTAGGGTTAAGCAGCAGAATTGGAGGAGCCGGTCAAACGCCCGTGGGTGTCACTTGCCCTTGAGACACTGATGACCGGTGCGCCCCTGACGTGCTGCCCCAGCCTTAGCTGCAGGCACAGGAGGCGTGCGAGGAGGGGCTGCACGAGCCAGGGGCCACGGGCACGCGTCCTGCCGCGGGGCGGTGGTGGCTGGGGGGTGCTGGACTCTCGCCCCTCTCCCCATCCCGCAGGGAGGAGATTGCATCCCTAAGAGCAGCCACCCTGCACCCACAACACTTGGATGACTGCACTGCATTGCAGTTTGCAATCATCCCGCTAATTGGGCTTTCAGTAAACCGATGTGTCTAACCAGCCCGCAAACTTCTCTTGGTCTTTAGACTCAGCCATTAGACAATAGCATTACCTGTATTTCTTTCTATATTGCAGAGAGCATTTGGTTTTAATGTGTATTTTATCAATACTTTATACTCTTGAATACTGGGAAATGTGAAATACTACAGCTGCCTTGTACATCAAATCAATGTAAACACAATGAGAATATGACAAGAGAATATGAATACGAGTAGTAAGTTATTAAACAATATTTCCTGTATGATGTCTAGAGCCAGAACCTATTTGTTTATTTATTTTTATTACATTACCCGAGAGGCTGCATTTAAAAATTCAGAGTGGCATACTACCCAGGAAATTGATATCTGTTGCACACCATTTTCTCCTTCTCAGTGGAAGAAATTTCATATTTTTTTGCCCAAGATGTTGACTCACGTGATTCCGTGATTCCAGCTTTTGTCTTTCATTTACACAGTGTAAATAAAATGTGTTTAACATTTAACACATAAAATGTGTTAAAAAAGAGAAAAGAAGAAAAAAAGGAAAATGTTGTTACATTGCCTGGTAGGCAGCAGATCTGAAGGAAAAATTGTCTTTTCATTTCACAGAGCAGAATTTTATAATTTGACAAAATGGAATTTAAAAGAGTTTTAACGCAAAGTTTGTTTGGACTTCTTTTTCTGAGAGCAAGAACCCTGGAAGCATTTAAAGTAGCCCACTTGCAGTGATAAGAAATTGCAGCATCATAAATAATGTAGACTGGAGAACTTCTTAAGAGGGTCTGTAGTAGGTGACTTCAGCCCTCTTTCCTTGACCATTTAATATACTTCGGAGGATGCTTGGATGAGCTTCCTACGATTCTTAGAGAATGCAGAGCAGTAAACTGCTGCACAGTGTGCACAGCCATGCTCTTTATCAGCACCCTTTGCGAGTTCTTTAGGACTTACGTCCATGACCGACGGTCTCTAATCTAGTCTTCCCGATGAGCAAGGCAGCTGTTGCTTTTACATTTGGCCTGCACGATGTCCCACTTTCCTGAAACACCGGGAAACTCTGTCCCTGCCCACCTCACGGTCATTTACATCCTGGCCTCAGCCTACACTAACATATGGGCCATAGAAAGAAAACCAGCCTTTTACGCTTGTGAGGAAATGTTCAAAATCTGCAGGACACCTCTGTGAGAAAAAAATTCAAAACGCTGATGCTGCTCAGCCAGACTGCGTGCTGGAGGTTACCTGCCCCTCCAAAAGCACAGGGCCAGAGGCAGCTGTTGTAAATTATAAACGGTCTTTACAAATAAACAGTTTGCTTTTCTTCTGCATTAAGACTGCTTCTCTTTCCTAGGGATCCAGCGTCTGACAGCTTGGGATGCTAATGGCCTAAATCACTCAGATCTTTTGTGCAACTGAAGTGCTCCAGGAGCCACAAGACCAAGGAAGGCTGCTCCAGGCGGCAGCCAGCACAGCCTGGACCACTTACCTGCAGTGCCAAGCCCACTGGATAGCACGTGCACTAACAAAAACATAATTTCCCTGATGTTTGAGTCACCAAACCTTGCTCCTCAGTTGGTTCAATCCAGTTGCAAACAGCTGTCTCCAGTAGGTATTCATATTTGCAGCAATGACTGCGTCAGATTTACACAAGAGCATTGCACTGATTTTCAAGAGCATTCCTTGGGAGTACTGTGCCTGCCCATCGCTGCCCCACCACAGCCTCGTGTCTGAACAACCAGCTGCCAAGTTTTGCAGTGTTGTGTGCCACCATTCCATCTGCCGTCCCACGCGGATCACCAAGTACATTACACTTTCCCTGCCCACTCTTGGTAATTAAACAATATATGACTGTCTTGTTTGCAATTAATTTCTCCAACTGTCTTTATGTCAAGGGCTGGGAAACCTAAGGACTAAATGTCCCTGTGACTAGCATAAAGTCCTGAAAACCGCAATATCTTTTCCAATAAACTGCATGCAGGAAATTCCCCTTCCCTATGGCACATCAAAAGACAGTCTGACCTTTTCCGTGTCCTTTAGCAGATAGTAAACTGGACCACCTTAAGGTTATGTTTGTTATTGTGCAACTGAGGTTGTGAGCACAGGGGTAAAGATGCAGACCCAGAAGCATAGACGTGAATCAAATTATTCACTTGCTTGCATACAAAGCAGCAGGCAACTCATTGAAAAGCAGACATTTCCAACTACGGCAAATTAAGTCCTACTGAGGCAGGCTAAGACTGCTGACAGAAATTACACCGTGCATTCAGCCTTTCTAAAATCAGGAAAGCTGCTTTTGCAATGGGTTAATTCCTTCATGTACTGGGCAACCTCTCCCCTCTGCAGGTAGGTTTGTGCACATGGACAAAAGGGACACGTTTTCAGGCACAGACTTTCCTCTCCAGACCTGAAGACAGGCAGTTAAGTTGGTATGACTCTTACAAGCACATCTTTTTTGTTCGTTTTCTAATCATGCTTCAATCTCAGTCTTGCAGCCCTTTGCACAGCACCTGAAGCTCTGAACTTCATGTCTTGCGTTTGCCCTGTGCCCTCTTCATGCCCAACAGTCATTGCTAACTCTGCATTCACAGTCACATTATTATTTTGTTCCTCCGTTGCTAAACCCCATCATTTACACCAATGAAACAATGGAAATTCATAAGGAAATCATCAGGATAATATCCCAAAACAACATCTGGGCTTGCCCCTGACCAGCCTCGGTCAGCTGCCACCCACTTGGGGGGCTGCAGACCCCAGGAGCGGTACCTGGACGGCCGCTTGATGGTGAAAGCTGCTCTCTTCTGGGTGCTCTGGAGATGTCAGCAGGAGTTCACAGACCCGTATGATCCCAGCCAGTCCCTTGGGTTTTTCTCACTTTCTCATTTCAGTGGATGTCTCTGCCCATATTCCCTGTGCCAGAGACCCCGTCCTCCCCTTCCCACCCAAAGGCTTTGTGTTTCCCTTTCCTCCAAGGGCTCAGTGAGAGTCTGAAGTCTCCCTTATTACACGAGTCTGGACACCTAATGTTGGTGTAACACAAGATCTTGTTCTTTTGTCTCTGGGCTCCCACTGCATTTAGGATCTTGTCCGCAGCAAAGCATGGTGCTCCTTCCCTCTCCTTTGAGTAATGGCACTAACACAATCTTCAGTGTTCGCAACACTCGCATCTCCTTCCCTAGGCGTCAGTACACGCTGCCTGCTGGTTTGCACTGCCCTGTATGGCCCTCTGACAAAAGCACTTTCATCTTGCTGGTGTAGGTCTGGTTATCCCCGGTTCCACCATCACCAGCCAAGAGGAATTCGCACCCAGCACAGCGATGACTAAAGACTGGTGCCTGCAAGAGGATTTGCATGAGAGAGGGGAGCTTTCTCAGGAGAAGGGTTGCCCAAGAGTCAGACCTGCTAGCGCTGCCCAGTGCAACGTGTCTTCCGAGGTGTGGAACAAGTGCCACACGCTGTTTCTTGCAGGGACATCCACTGCCCTTGGACAGCAGCCCCTGGGTTCGCTCTGCTGGCCCCCAGGCTTTCTGTCCTCTACCCACGGCTCTCAGCTTTTCCTCAAGGGTTTTAAGTTTACCCCATGGTGGCAGGGCTATTTCTGTCTGCAGTGTGCAGATGATGTGCAGTGCAAAGTCGCTGTTCTGTCCCTCCTGGACCAAATGTCCACAGTAAGTTTTGTGGTGAGTGGGATGTGATGGGAGCCGGGCGCAGTGAGCCAAGTGGTCCTTCCTGAGCTGTGTCCCAGAGAAGAGACACGTTGGCTTCCCAATGTGTTAGTGAATGGTTCAAAGCTGTGCCAGGGGAAGTTTAGACTGGACATTAGGAAGTATTTCTTTACCAAGAGGGTGATCAAACACTGGAGCAGGCTTCCTAGAGAGGTGGTCGATGCCCCAAGCCTGTCAGTCTTTAAGAGGCATTTGGACAATGCCCTTAACAACATGCTTTAACTTTTGGTCAGCCCTGAACTGGTCAGGCAGTTGGATTAGATGATCGTTGTAGGTCCCTTCCAACTGAAATACTCTATTCTATTCTAGTAAAACCCAGGAGACAGCAGAGTGGTCTGGTGGGACGATGATGCTGAGAGCTCTCCAGCTGAGCCGAGTACCAGCAGAGTCTTTAGAATCATAGAACAGTTTGGGATGGAAGGGACCTTTCCAGGCCATCCAGTCCAACCCCCTGCCATGGGCAGGGACATCTTCAGCCAGATCAGGGTGCTCACAGCCCCGTCTAACCTGACCTT